TATTACAGACATACTTTTGATACATTTAGCTGTGTTCTGCTTTGTATGTGTTTTATTTTATTTGTTTCATATTTCTTATTTCATCCATGTTTTCAATTATTAGACTAAATTTACCAATAAATAGTTTGAAAATATATTTTTTGCAGGTTTTAGTTTTTAATATTAATTTACAATATGGTCACCCAACACTTAACAATAGTCTCTACCTCAAGAGGTAGAGGAGCCAAATGTCTGGCTCMCTGCTGCCAACTAGTGGTCAGAGGCTGAACTACAACATAAAAATGAACGGCTGGCAGGAAAGTTGACATTTTAAACCTTAATAGAAAATCAATACAGGGCTTTAGAATATCGATACAGTATCTGGAAATGAAATATCGCGATATTTCAATGTATCGATATTTTCTTACACCCCTGGTATACGTATATTATTTGTTCAATTTACTCAACTAGGCTCAGTGGAGCCAGCTGACATGACTTTATTGAGTAAATTCAACACTTCATTTTTTATAGAGCAGAAACATCTTTTTTCATGAGTTCAAACATATTTAATATTGTAACAAGTAACTAGGTGTTACATTTTAAAGTAAAGAAATAAATGCATCATTTTTAGCTTTAAAATGTAACAAAATAAAAGTAAAAGTAGCTATTTAAAAAATAATTAGTACAATTACAAATCCTCAAAAGAGCTAGTTCTTAGTTACCATAAACCTCTTTAATTCACAGTTTTCAGCTCTGTTAGTAAAATATCATGTTTCAGCGACGTCCTTAAGTCTGTGAACAAACTGGAAATTTACAGACGACGTTTGAATCATCCGAGAATTATTTTTTTGCAAAACAGGTTGAAATTGACACAAAAAAAGAGTCTTTGAAATGAAAAATCTAAAGGAGGAGTGGGCCGATAAATGGTTTGTGTAAAAATAGTGTCTGAAATAATAGTGACTAAAATATATTTCAGCATTTCAGCACAAAGAGCCACTTCTTTCCTGTTTAATGTGTCTTTATGAGGGGATTGAATCCTCAAACTGCCTACATCCAGATCTGTGAATAAACCCGGGGTTTGGATCCGGTACGCACAGGAGCTTAGATTTCTGGCCAAAAACTCACCTTAAATCACAAAAGCATCTGAAGACGAACGCGGCGGCACCGGCTGACACGCACAGCCCACGGTCACCACCAACCAGGAAGTGGATTAGGCGTTTTAATTACTGGGAGATTTCGCCGTCGTGGTTGTTTATTTTGGGATCATCCCTGGAAAGATAAAGCCAGCTTCAGACTCGGTGTGTGTTTTTCTAATCTCCTGGATGAAGCCGTTCACTCTGCCTGTCAAAAACCACTCGTCTATTTCAGGTCCTCATAAAACCACAACAAAATATACAAATAATGATTAAAAAAAACAGGTTTACGTTCACTTTGTCTCGTTGTCAAACTGAAGAGTCTGGTTTCACTGAKGGTTTGAAGACGGAGGGAACGTTTTATTAAAAACGTGTTTCTGACAGACGAACAGAAACAAGTC